CAACATTGTACTTGTATTAAAAACTGTAACTAATGCCATTCGATGTTGTGTTGACAATAGAAACATTAACGAAGCAACTCCCAATGATGAATACCTTATGCCTATGGCTGGCCTATCCATCGATGTAGTTGCAAATCATAAAGTTTTATCTTTTATGGATAGTAATGCTGGATATAATCAGATAAAAATGGCTAAAGAAGACATACTTAAGACAACATTTAGATGCCCAGGACATATAGGGGCATATGAATATGTAGTCATGTCATTCGAACTGAAAAATGATGGTGCTACCTATCAAATGGCGACAAATGCTATTTTTCATGATTTGATCGGGCATAGCATGGAGGTATACATTGATGACATCGTGGTGAAGTTTAGATCTAAAGATCAGTACCATGTCCAGAATGATGGGAGTCATGAAACCCACTCTAAAATTAAAAGTGTTGGTCTTTGTGTTCCAGAAGAGAAGGGTTATCGAGAGAAGCTCGTGCTTAAAGAGGACAGTGGTCTTAGACATCATGATGAGCTCACATATGCCATTGGCCATCCATTTCTACTTCCAGATGAGCTCCAATTTGTCTACCCATTGAGACTATGCTTCATCCTTCATCAAAGGAAAACCTCTCCTGAAGTTGGACCACTTGGAGGCAAAGATTCCAACCTCGTTAGTATAAGGATTGGAAGTAAACCAGTTGGCAGCAGACATGTTGCTTTCCACTACAACATGGACTCGGGCAATCTAAACGAGCCCAGTGAGTGAACTCCTTATTCTTCAAAGAAAATAGACAGATTGAGGCCAGCCAGAGGGCGATACAAGCCGTTGAGCTAACAGTGCAAGTTGACAATTCTTTGTCCAGACTTGCATGCAAGGCGTGTTTTGGGGGCCATTGTCGAATTCGTGAGGAAAGAATGAAAGGATTTGACTGGAAAGTGAGGCTAGAAAGGGCTGAGAATGCAAAAGCTTTGAGAGCTCATAAAGTTGAGTAGGTTGAAGAAGATGATTGAGAAAAATGAAGTGGAAGTTATTTAACATGCAGGTAGTTAAACTTTGGAAATCATGGGTTAGTGCAAAGATCTATTCGAAACGACTAATTAAGTGGCGCTAAAACTCAGTTTCAGCATGTAATTTATTTTAATCATTATCAATGTCTTGATTAGCAGACTTGACAATGATTAAAGGGGGCATTGTTTGGGTGGACATTTAATATTGGGCTTAGTGAGGATGAAGGCCCAAGAACACAAAAAGCAAAGAGAAGATTGGGCTCGGGCAAATCGACAAAGAATTAAAAACCATTTTTGCAAAGAATAAGCAACAAGCATATGTGAGAAGTGATGGGCAATAGAGGGCAACTCACCTCTGGCAAAAAGCAAGTTTCAAGGGCAGGGATAAGCAAAAAGCACTTTTCAAGAATTAAAAACCATTGTTTGTCATGTTCCTCCATCTCTTTCCTTCTAATCAACCCAGTTCAAAACTAAAAAAGAACAATATGTTATACAAAGATAATAGTGGTACGCTCATATCCATGTTAGTTTTGATTGTGAGCCCCAAGGCCTAACAAAGACCCTACAAAGGCACCATTCAAGCTAACAGCAAAATCATACTCCAGCACACCAAGCAGCAAACCTTGCCCAACAGGCAATACCTCAAGAAGCTATGCGAGGGACAGATCTAGCCCGAACACACCTCACCATCGAAGAAACCATAACGATTCGATTCCACCCTCGTTTGTGAAATTGTGACATCATCAATGGCGCCACTGTTCGGGATGAGTGGCGACATGGATGCTGGGCAAAATGGACAACTTAACCTATATCAAAGAGGACCCCTCAACTCCGATGGGTGTTTATTCGAAAGGTTTACATCATCGTCACTTTTTAGTAGCATGGTAGACTATGCTTCTGCTTTTCTATGCTTTTTAATTGCTACTGATAGGAGTCTTTTAAAAAAGTACTTTTTCTTTTTTTTGTTTTACCAAACACATTTGGTGTTCTAGATTTTTTTAATAAGCTGTTTTTTTAAAAAGCACCACAACCCCTAACTAGCCCTTAATTGGTTGCTTTGCTTTGCTTTGCTTTTTGGTTAATCATTCGATAAATAAGCTTACTTACAATTGTTATATACATTCACTCTCTTGCATAATATGTCACACGTCAATATGTGATAAATTTCGTTAGGAAAAGTTTGGAATATGCTTACTAGCCGAACTTTTATGTCTCAACTCATGTGATACTTGATCTGCACACAACATTTTTGCATTGAAAAACCACCAATGCTATCTGTAATTATTCATGACAGTTGTAATTAAGAATTTCTTCTTAGCCAAATCACGACTTTAAGTTTTATCTTTTGGTATGTATACACAGAAATAGATTTTAAAATATGCTTAATAGCTGACCCTTTGTTTCCCAACCCATGTACCACTTGAACTAAGTTATTGCATTAGAAAACCGACCATGCTATCAACAATCATGTACGACGTTTGTTATTAAGATTTCTTGTTATCCAAACCCTTAATTCTGATCCTATCTTGCCTCTTGTGCCGTTTTCAGGGATGGTGTATTCTGCAATTTTCTGTGGTTATATTGTGTATGACACTGGCAATCTGATAAAAAGGCTCAGCTACGATGAATGCATATTCGGTGCACTCTCCATATATCTTGATGTCGTCCAACTCTTCTTGTTTCTGCTCTCTTTAATCATCGGTGGTAGCTAAATATTGACGACAGCAACTAGAGCGTACGAAGATGAAGTTTTTATATGATGGTTTCATGTATAACAACTGCATACACCCATTTTTGCTACAATAGCTTGACCCACAACAGGATTGACTTCGTTAAATGTATATGTTATGGAACTATTCACGGAAGGATATTTACACATTTATCTTTGAAGTTGGATCTCTTCCACCATTGAGAACAATGACGGTACACGGATGGAAAAGTAGGATGGGTTGGCCTGCCCATCCAACCCTCCATGTTGTTCCGCCCCTGATTGGAATGAAGAGAGATACTACTAAAACTAGACATGTTGATTAAGAGGTCTAAATTTGGTACTCATAGTTTTACCATATTGCCCTTGAACAGTTTGTTGTTAGAAACAAGCATTTGTTTGGTGACCATAATTCGATACGATAAGTGAATCACAAATCGGATATGACTTTTCTCAATAATTTTAATATTTAAAGAGCAACACATTTTTGAACTTGGAAATTGACGTTACAGATATCCAAATCACAAATGTATAATATCTATTTGCATGATCCCTTTCACATATCTCTTTCCCTTTAACAATTATCAGAGTCCATTCACTTTCAAATTGTCAATGAATTAAATAAATATTATGAAAGCTCTCTTTCATTCATTACCCCATTCTATATAAATCTCTTTCTTTGTAGGTCGCCATTTGCCTTGTTCATAGCGTTCGTTTTCTCTTTTGTCACATTCAATCCAGTTCAATTTAGGCCCCATCCATTTAAATTAAAATAAATAATAAAAAGTTATGATTTTGTTGTTGAGTTTTTTTCTGTTCTTTAGCTAATTTGATGGTATTACAAAAAATCACATGGTCTTGCTTTTTAAATTTATTGCCTTAATTCCATCATAGAAAAACTCTCAAATGATTTTGACATTTATAGCGGTTCATACAAGTGTTTTCATAAAAAAATTGTTTTCTTTGTTAAGACGCAACTCTAAGGCTTTTCAGAGTGCTTTAGATGAGTGTGATATCTATATATAGGAATCAAGCATTCTAAATTTAACTTTTATAACATTAGTGCTACATTAGCATGAGTTCAATATATTGGTACCACACTCAAGAGTTCAATAAATTGGTATCACACTCAAAATTTTCAATACACTGTATAAGTATGATTCCTATATGAGTTCAATATATTAGTATCACACTTATTTTTTCCGGCCTATTATGAAATACTTAAACTATTAAAGAGGAATTCAAACTTGAATACAGAGGATGACACTTCACATAGGTCAACCAACCCAGTCCATATATGCAATCATCCTAAATTGTTTACTTCTATTCGAATTTGTAGAGTGCCCCTTTTTTTTTTACCACGATTGAGTAATACTGAGCATCATCACCACAATAATTGTCATATTATAATTATATTCAATACAAAAATCTTAAAATTTAAAGTGATAACTAGTACTTAAAATGGTGCTAACGCTGCGATTACTTAAACTTGCGAGCAAGCAATTATGTTTAGCACTAATATATTTGGAACATAGTCTGACGGCACAGCCTCTTATTCTCCTTCTAGCTAATTAAATATTTCTTAATCGCTCCCGCCATTCACTTAATCCAAACAAAACTTCTTTTATCAAGTGGAAGATTACAAGACCAAAGACAATCATGATTGCACCTCGAAATTAGAACCTTAGATAACCAAATCCAATAAACTCCAACAGGGGTCAACAAAAGCACAAAACCAACATGAATAAATAAATTAACAAATCAAGCCATTAAGGATGAATTCTAAATCCGTATTTCCACATAACACGTCTTGAATTTGATTCTTGGCATTCATAAATCGCATGATGGTGGGCATAAAGAAACTAAAATGTCTTTATGAATCCTTTTAACCTTCCAAAAACCGAACTGTGGTGGTAAAATCTCTAAGTGGTCTCTTTTTAAGAAAATAAAAATCAAGACAATATTTATAGGATGTGCTATCCACACATCCCTTTATAGTTTTCTCACACTCCTTGTTAATTTTTACTTCTTCAATTCATTCAATCTGACGAAAAAAAATTAAAAGTGTAAAATAAACATAAAAAAAAATGTGTGAATTTCGCATCCTTATTTCCGCCTTCAATCTTACCTTGTTCTTTACTCAAACTGAGATCCTTTCCCGTTCTTTTTTGACTGCCTCAGTCCAAGATCCTCCTTTTCTTTCCTTAACATCACTAGAAAATCACAAGCTCTTGTTCCAATCTCTTTCTTTTCCATTAAAAATTAAAAAAAAAAAAAAAAGATTCCAAAATACACATAATATATATATATATATATATATAAATTCCACACTACTAAAAGACCAATTGGGATTAAACTTAGACCTTTAATTAACCTTTTTACAATAGACTAAATTCACGGTAAAACACCACAGCCAAAAGTTTACCAAAATATCCCATTCCCAAGTTACCATCTCCCAAATTTTACCCTCACGACTTATAAGTGAAAACCCTAGCTAGATCCCATGTCTATTGTGCCTCTCTGCAACAATGCTGAGGAGCCTCGACACGCCCAGTGTCCAAATGTCGTACTCCCTCTGGTTCCGGCACTCGAACTCCACAACTCCGCGCATAACAGTCTTGAGCCCAAAGTAACGTCGGTTCTCTCCGCCCTCAAGCAGGTGGCGGCCGGGCCAAGCCGGCATGTCCTTGATCACCTCCAGCACCACATCTGTAAATTCAAAAGCAGAAAAGCAAAATAATTCAAAGACAAACACTTTTGATCCCTTGCCACCGAAGTGCTTGTAGCTTTTGCAAATCCCCAGATGGAACGAACAAATAATTAGCCAAAGACAAAAGCAATCACTCACTCTTTTTCTTTTTTGTTATGGTCCCAGCAACGTGCCTGCTCTTCATCTTCAGCATAACCTGCACAAAAAGAAGCTCCAGAAAATTAAAGAGGGAAACAAAAAGAGAAAAGAGGGAGGGCTGATCCATTTCTTTCATCATTCGACTCTCTTTTGCTGTTTAACCTTTTATCCCATAAGTTCACATTCATGACCAAAAGCTCTATTGATGCCCTAATTATTGGCCCTACCCTAAAAGAAAAAGGAAACTAATCGGTAGACGTTGCGAGGAGCTTTACCTGACCCGTTCGATGGATGTAAACACAGACGATTTTCCAATGAAGATCACCTGGCATTCAGCACAACAAAGAAAAAGGAGATTTAGAATTAGATTTGACAACAAGAAATCATCAGACAAATGGATCAAGTACATTCAAATTTTGCGCCCGCCAACTTTGGTTATTCAGTAGTTTCAGCACAATTCAATAGTGAAAGTAATGTCGAAATAGATTTTTCCTGCTAAGACATAACCATTCTATAGTTCATCTACATTCACTCGAGATCAAAGAAACTTTTCCATCTACCAAGTTCCTTCCACGTAAACATTCTTACAAGTTACAACTCAATTTCCATCATGACACTAGATGATTGAAACAATTATAAAAGCAATAAATAGTAACGAATGAAACAAACTGAAATTCACCTTTGCGGGTGCGCTTGAGGAGCTCACAACCCTTAGCAAGCAATTCCTTACTGCAGATGCCGAGAAAATTCTCTTCAGGAACAAGTTCTCCACTGAAACTACTGTTGGAATTCCCGTTGCTGCCATTACCAGCTACTCCTGAGCCTTTCTCAACAGGAATAACTGCTGCTATATTCCACACTTCCTTCAACGCCCTCGCCTTTAGTGTCGCTGCACCGCGTAAGGCTGCAATCCCCCACCACAAACGTCAAGGGCATTAAAGTCCATAAGAAAAAAAATGAAAACACTTGCAATTATAACAAACAGAACCAAATTAAGGTTCTGTACCTGTTGCTGCTGCAGCAGTTAAGGTCATGATATCGCCAGCGGACCGGACATTCACGGCAGAGCTGACAACCGTAGCAAGGTGCTCCCGCTCAGCTCCCATGGCCTCAGCCGCCTCCACACACTGTGCAGCAACCAATGTGGCAGCAGAGGCCACAGCCATGTCAGTCTTCGCCATATGCTCATCTTTTCCCGATCCAGAAGAGGCAGCAGTGGCGGCAGCAGTAGCGGCAGCAATGGCGGCGATGGCAGAAGCCACCCCAGCAACAGAAACAGCAGCATGAAGCTGAGCATTCAGGGCTCTAGCCTCCTCTTTCTTCTTCTCCCTCCTGTCCTTAAGCCACCTGCCCACCGTCTTGCCACCGCCAGACACGGGGGCGCCGCTAGGAGTGGCGGCTCTGAATTGGGTGTTGTTGTGGTTGGTAGAGCGGCCGTACTGCATCAAATCAGAAGCTAATGTCAATTGTGATTTGAATTTTATGGGAAAGGTCTAAACCGTATGTAAATTCACTGAAATGTAAAACCACCCAAAAACAGAACTGATGGGTGCAGTGAGTAAATGGTAAAAAATAATCGCACACCCACTTCCTCTGCCAGTAGTGCAACTGTCGGGTTCATAAATTTTCAGAGACAAATTTTTGGTCACACCCACCGTGTGTGTTTTGTAACAACCAATTCACTCCTAGGGGACCAAAAGCAATCATCACCATGACCGTGGTTAGTTTTGTAATTAGAAAGAAATTCGAGCCTGTGTCTGCAAATGTCGAAATAATCACCAATCTAATTAATTTTGGCGAAGAACACTGCAAATACGCAGATTCACGAGATGGGTTTTCTGGATTAGACGAATCTGAGCGCTAAGCCAATAACTTTTTGCACTGGAAAGAGCGAGAGAACAAGGATTTGGTAATCGACTGGGTGGGATAATTAAAAGGGTCCTTGGTTACTGCGAAAGCTGTGGACTATGTTCGACCGGGTCAGAGTGAGCCAGACTCAGTAGTACTTGTGCTCTGTACTCCCGAATCAGACTTTTAGTACACTACCCATGTGGTTGGTGTCATATTCCGGCAACCGCGTACGGTGGTCGGCGGCGAAGATTACAAAAACCAAATAAAACAAAACAGAGTTTACAGACCTTAACATCGTCTTCGGTGGGGGAGACAGGTGGGCTGTCAGTTAAGGAACCGTTGAGAGGACCGCTGCTGTGGGAGAGCCTGCCGGAAGTTCGCGGAGACACCTCTTGCTGCGAAAAATAAATATAATAATTAATTAATTAAACAAATAAATAAAAAAAATTTGGGGTAGTTTCTATTTACAAGATGAAGAACTAAGTAGAAGAAGGACAAATGGAAGCTTGAAACTTAAAAGAAAATGGTCAAATTTCGAGACCAAAACAAGAAAATGGCAGATAAACCGACCAAACCAAATACAAACACAAAGGAAAGTGCCAAACAAAAACAGAGATACGAGAGAGCTAAAAAACAAGACCATAAGCAAAAGAAAAAAAAATCAAACTAAGACTAAAAATCCCAATCAATTTCTGGAAGAATCAAACAAGGTCAACCCAAGAGTTTTAAAAATCCCACAATTTGTCTACACATTGCCAGAGCTTAAATCTCTGCCAAGCTTACCGACTGTGACATGATACGCTCCATGACGAGCTGAGAGGTCTCGGAACAAGCAAAGGAAAATGGGTTGCCCGAAAATGTGGCGCTCTCGTCTAGCTCTCCGGCCAGGTCCTCTGGTATGGGACCGCTGCCGCCGCCATTGACGGCAGAGCTGAGGTTGAGGTTTGTGAGTTGGGTCTGGCCCTGGGGTGGGGCTAAAGCTTTGGAGACTTCGAGAGCCGACACGCTCCAAGAGCGGGAGAGGAACTCCATGGGCTCGCGAGGAGTTTCCGGTGGCCGGAACACGGCGGCCTGAACCGGGTCCATATGAGTTGGGGGAGTTTAGCGTGATAGGCACGTAGTTGCCAACGAACCGGTTCGGAAGAAAGGGAGTGGAATGTAAAGAGTGAGGTTCTTGAATGAATGGGAAAGTCGCCGGCTTTATAGAGAGAAAAACGCTCAAAGCAAGCGGCCGTATAGAGGATTGGGTTTTAGTACAATAAAAATAAAATAATAGAATATAAAATAATGAACAAGAGAACTTTTGTTAGCAAAACAAAAAATATATATTTAAAAAATGAGTATTTTTAATGTGAAAAATATAGATTTGGGAGAATTACGAGTGAGGATCCAAATAATATTCCAAAACAAGAAATATGTTGGGACTTGTATGTGAGTTGTAAATCTGACAAATGTACAACATCCAAAATTTATCTAAACTTTTGTGGTGAGAGTAAGAGGACACGAAACTTGTGTGGGTTACTAACAATGTCACAATCTTTGAGTTTTTAATAAAATAGATGCCAAGGGTAATCGAGTTTGTCATTCTCATCCAAGTCTCGAAATAAACCGGATTTATAAGGTGAGGTGTCGATTCCTTCTTGTTAAAATAAGTATTTTCACTCACCACATAAAAATAAATAAATAAAAAATAACCTATTAATTGGGTCCCTCGTCGCGGCGTGTTGACATCAGCCTTAGAAAAAGAGAAATAATAGTTTAAATGTTCTAACTCCACTTCAATTAATACTGAAGTTATTTGTTATAAAACCTCACACATGACGGATAATGTAGGTGGTAATTATTAAATTGGGGACAATATTTGTGTTGTTAGAGTGGGTCTTTGGCCTGCCTCTCTGATAATTCGACAACCACCATATTTATTAGTTCAAATTTTGAGATTTGTGTTTATGCACTACACAGATCTCGAAATTAAACTCATTTAAAAGTAATAAAAATATTTTATTTATTATATGTGTAGTTGGTACAATGTTGAGGTTTGGATTAGCCTACCATTTATCAATCGCAAAATACATTTTGTTTAAATTTCAACTGATCCAAAAACTTTATAAGGGAAGGTCAATCACACATCACTCTTTTTCCTTTGAGCTAACTTGCATTTTACATTTTACACTCTTGGTGTTTCAATTTACTACACTATAGCACTTTGAGGTTTTTAAATGATATCAATTTACACATTCTGTCAATTTGAACGTCTAATATTGTATGATTAGTACTTTTTATAACATGTCAACTCACAAACGGGTCCAACCCTTGTCGAGTCGTCAATTTAATGAATGACGGTCATACATATGGAAGGAAAAAATTGAGACAATTTCAAAATCTTATAGTGCAATATGACACGAGACCCATTTAAAAAATCACTCTGAACTTAGAGGGTGTGCACCCCGTCCCGAAACTATCGAAACGCATAGGTGAAATGACCATTTTACCCCTAGTTTGTTTTTATTATGTTTTTGGATGTTTTGTGTGGTGTTGGCCAAAGTTGGACCACACACACACATCCTATCTCTATCCCTCACCCTCTGTCACTTTCTCTCTCTCTCTGCCCCCGAGTCCTCTATTCTTCTTCTTCTTCTTCAAAACAAAAACGTACGGAAACCCACACAACCCTTCAAACCTGGACAGATCGAAGGAACCAAGGACACCATCGAGCTCGTGAGGCTGTGGGGAGCATTGTGGTACCATTTTCAGGTAGGAAAACCACCATTTTCACGTCGATTCGAGGTTTTCCGAATTGAGCACTATTCATGCAAACTTAATTTAGCTTGTTTTTGGACTTTTGAAGCTTGTAGTTGTGTTTGTGAGGTTCCCAGGAGCGTGGGAGTGCTTCGTTGAACAAATTTGGACGTCGGGAAAGCTTGGTTCGAAGTTGGCCGAGTTTTGGAAACTTGGACAGGTATATTCTCGTAGTTTTAGGCCTTAAAACTTGTAGGATCGTGTTCTACTAGTCCTAAGGGTTAAAATGGTGCAAAAATCTTGAAAAACGGTTGAAAAACGAGTGAGAAAACCTAAGTTGCAGGTTTTCCGGCGACGGCGAGGGGGAATGGCCGGAGAAGAAAGGGGAATATTCCGTTGAGTTTAACGGAATATTCCTAACGGACGTTGACGGCGTCAGTTAGGTTTAACGGAATATTCTGTTGGGTTAATGGAATATTCTTGACGGCGTCACTTGACGCCGTCAGTGTGCATGGCACGTGGCCGCGCGTGGGGGCGCGTGGGTCCGTGCCTGTCTTGGCGCGTGAGGGCGCGTGGGAAGTCCAAAAATTATTTAAAAAATATGGGTGTGATCGTGAGGTTGTGTAGATCACGTTGGTATATTCATTTGTCCATTTTGAGCAATGTATGAGAAGTTATTTTGAACGGACGGTTATGTGCTTTAAAGTTAACGTTTTTATAGTTAATTCGCATATAGGTGACACGTATTCCAAGGACGAGCGTGCACACTCGAGGCAGGGGGGCTACGACCCTTCCACATACCAGTGAGTGGGCTTTTGTTTTCCGTATATACCTATATACATGTTATTTCCCAGAATTAGTATAAATGCTTCGTTTTATGCCATTCTTTTTATATGATTGATGGTTATGCATGATTAGTGGCATATACGTTTAATTATATATTCGATTATGCATATGTCACATATATATTTGTTGGTGCTGTGGAGGCATAGGTAAGTGCCAGGTAAGCGTTGTTTAACATTTGCATTAAATAGTGATTCGAGGTGCTTAGAGAGCTCATAACCTGCACCCCCGGTGTTAGTGCTTCCGCCCAGAGTAGGGCACAGTCCTTCACGTGTTGTTCACCTCCCGCACCACACGCTCAGCTTGAATCCAAGTTAGGTGCACAGTCCTATCGTACAGACCACTATAGGTGGTTCCGACTCGTAGGTGACCAGCGATTATTCGCACAGCCTTCACGTGATCGTAGCACTAGAGCGTTCATATGTATTACACCCAGGCCTGTCGTACAGACCACTATAGGTGGTTCCGACTCGTGGGCAGGTTTAGTGATTTAGTTGAGATTTGAGCTCTAGATTCAGCCGTACAGGTCACTTAGGGGACTCCGGCTGCCAGTTTTTATGCTATTGATGTGAGTTATACCTGAGCACATGCATGATATTATAAGGTTTCGTGATGGCATACCCTTGAGCATGACTTGGCATATCTACGCATATGTGTTTATTTTCTGGGAAGTATACAGGTTTTACGGCGAGGGGTTAGAATGTATTTTATGAATTGGTTTTCAAAGAATTTGTTTTTGCCCACTCACGCTTTTGTTTTGCGCCCCTCCAGGTTCTAGTAGCTTAGCGGGTTGGTGGTTTTCCCGGAGGACGTCCCGGCATTCTGACAGACACTCACCTACGTAGGGTCACCTTCGGGTGCACTATTGTTGTATCGTTTCTTTTGGACTGCTGTAGGCTTAAAGCTCTGAATTCAGCGTCTTACTTTTACTAGCACATACTTTATCATATTATATTTGCTAGTTTTTAAATTATTCGTACTTTTATATTATTTCCTTTAGCTTCCGCACTGTGCACATGGCTACGTCACTTCCACGTGATGGCCAGCATGCCCTGATCTCGGTTGGGGTGTGTCAGTTTGGTATCAGAGCTTAGGTTTGGCAGTCCTGTGTCTTTTGTGAGTATTCTAATGGTTTTGGTGCCTTCTGTCAGAATTATGCCGCCTCGTCGGGAACCACGCCGTTCAGATGAGTCTAGTTTCCCCGATATCACTCAGCTGGGGGAAGCTATTGCTAGAGCATATTGAGAAGACTTTCCGAGTATTGAATAATCAGGGGAATCTTTCTGTGGAGAGATGGGTCGAGACGACTTCATGGTTTCTGGGTACGGAGTCTGCATCCTGGTGGGAGCAGGAGCTTCGTAGTTTGACTCCAGCCGAGAAGACGGACTGGAATGTTTTCATTAGGTTATTTAAGAGGAGATTTGTGCCCCCAGAGTACATCGATCGCAAGAAACAGGAATTCACTGAGTTGAAACAGCGGAAGATGTCTGCGAACGAGTATTATCGGAAGTTTACCGACTTATCTCGCTACCACCCTGAGATTGCTAGTAATCCAGCGGAGATGCTTCGTCGTTTTCGCATCGGCACTAAGAAGAAATGGCGTTCGATGTCGACCTCCACTCATTGTAATACTTATCAGGAGTTCTACGAGGTTTTGCTGAGGGTTGAGGACTCTGAGAATATGACGAGCGAGAGTGATGACGATGAGAAGAATGGTAACCAGAAGAAAGATGTCAAGGGTAAAGGTCAGGCATCGCTCGGGCCTCGTCAGACTCAAAACTCCGAGAGGGGTGGTAATAGCTCTAGCTCTTCTAGTGGTGGTTTCAGTGCCACTGGTCAGGGACGAGGAGGTAGATTTACTGGTGGCGCTCGAGGCCAGAGACAAGGGGACGGTGGTCGAGGTAGGGCCCCACTTTGCCGAAGGTGTAACAATCGGCACACTGGCGAGTGTAGGCGGGGCAGTAGTGGTTGTTTCACTTGCGGGCAAATGGGGCATCGAGCCGCGCAATGTCCCCAGAGTCAGCAGCAGAGACCGCAACAGACTTTTCTGCCACCACCTGCCCCTATTCAGCAGATTCAAGGTCCTAGTGGTTATGGACAGGTCGGTCGGGGTGGTGCCTACCACTACCAGGGTGATGCTGTTCCCTATGCCCCGGGACAGCATCAGTATCCTCAGGACCCCTACTCCCAGGGTGGTTACCCTAAGTATTCGGGCGGCTATATGCCGTATCCTCCAGCTCCAGCCGATGGTTCTCAATGGTATCAGTGAGGACAGTTTCAGTCAGGAGAGATTGCTACTAGCAATGTAGGGTCTTCGAGACAGACCGGTCAGCCCAGTCAGGGGCGTGGTACGCAGGGTCGTGGTGCTCAGGCGAGTAGAGGTCGTGGCGGACGGCAGCAGGGCCAGGGGCGTATTCACAACATTTCTCTGCAGGATGCTCAGAACAACCCGGATCTGATTATGGGTACGTTAAATATTCTTGGTTATTTTGCTAGAGTCTTAATTGATTGTGGAGCTACACATTCTGTGATTTCTCATACATTTGCTCAAGTGACGCAACCTCGCCCTACACCTCTAGGGTTCGATTTAGAGTTCGCTATGCCTAGAGGGGAGAGATGTATTGTAGATCGTGTGTACCCAGGGCGTCCAGTGATAGTT